TCCAAGTAGTTAAGCATCTCACCCTTTTCCTATCAATGTACCTTTCATTGATCAAGGTGCTTTGCCTTTTATGCGTTCAAAATGAGTACTCATAGGACTCACATGCATAATTAACTCAATTGGAACAGCACAGAATCAAAATATCGTCAACACGATAGGTTGTAAAACTCAACTCGTGTGCTAGTGATGATCGATAAGGTTTATTTGATTTGTTCTTGAAACCTTTCAAGACTCCCACTGACTCCTTGACATATAAGATTCTCTTGTCAATAAACATTTGTTGACAACCAAATATTCAAGAGTTAGTGTAGCTTTTATCAAAACACTTCATAAATTGGTCCAAGTTGGTCTTTGTCTTATTCAAGACATCACAACTTTCCACATTTTATGAATGTTATAAACCTTTAATACTTTTCACTCATTGTCACAATCTTAACTTTAAGACTTGTTATTGGAACGAAGTATGATAGACTTCTTGATTTAACCATTTCTTCAATCCTTGATTCCTCTTCTTAAACATACAATTGTACTAAGACTCACTTAGAGGATCAATTGAGATATGGTTCTTAATCATTAAGACTTATCATAAAGCATAAAAGCTACTCTCCCTTCTTCTTAGAATGGAGAAACTCTTATCTTTCTGCCTACTTGATTCTTCTTATTCGTTCTACTATTGATCTAAACCCTTTAATCAATTCAGAATCACACTTAATCTTGTAAGTGTAATCATATTTACTAAGCCTTTAGTAAATCATGACGAATATCTTTGTTACTCTTATGGTGAACTTGATCAACACACAACTTTGTGTACTCGATCTCCTAGTCCTTCACTTGACACTTTGTCAACGAATTTGTCTAATTTCCAAATATGAAATTTCTCATTCATCATGCAACCAAGTTGCGTGATTCCAAATTTCAGTCCAATTGAAACTTTGGGCGATGAGAAACTCTCCCTATTTGGTAAATTCTCGACATTCCATAAATAACATAACTAATCATATCCATTCGTTGTAGAAATATGCAAACATCAATTTTCATAACAATTTCATTGCAAGGAAGTAAACAAATAAATAAATAAGTCAAACAAAATTTATTTTATTATAAAAGCAGCGGAAAAACATTTGTCCTTACAATGCAAAATCTATTGAAAACTATGTAAAAGGAAAATTTCTAACAACTCTATCATAACTATCTAAGCTCAAAATCCAATCTTCAAGTCCATGCGATCAAGATCCATCTCTTGTGATTAGATTCATCTTGCTCTCTTATCAAGCTTCCTTTCTTTTCACCGATCCTTCAAAACATTCAAATGCAATCTTATCACATCATGTATTAAGAATCAATGAATAGGAACTTAACGGAGTTAGATAGTGGATTTTACCTGAAGCGTGTCATACTTTTGACTCTCCCATCTCTTAGATCTCTTAGGTAAATAGGGCAACTTCGTCTCCAATGCCCCTTCTCTTGGCAATAAAAGCAAATTGACTCTTTTGGAACAACACATGGAACTACTTCAGACATCGCCTTTCTCTTATGATCAAACTTTTCGATCATTGCATGTCTTTCATTGCCATTGTCTATATCCATAGAGGTCTTGAAGGCAGATTCACCAATCAACTTTGCTTTTCTATTGCGCCAAACCATTGCTTGATTCAGCAGCAATAAGCATATAGGTGAGATCAATAAGGGTTACGTCGTGGTTCATCATATAGTACTCTCTTACGAACTCACTATACGAGTTAGGAAGTGACTGAAGAACCCAATCAACAGCCATCTCTTCACCGACAACGGATCCCATCATTCTTAACCTATCAATGTGTGACTTCATCCCTAAGACGTGTGCACACACCGACTTTCCTTCTTTATGTTTACTTGCCAAAAGGGCTTGAGTGATATTGAACCTTTCAATTTTACAATCTTGTGGGTTAGGGAGAATAATTGGAGGAGGAGGAGTGAAGCATGATTTCTTGTTCCTCGATCGAATCGTGGAATATCATCTTCATGTGGAATGCTTGTTCCACGGGATTTGGGAAGACCATAGTTGTCGAACTTTGACATCTACAAAACGGGAGAAAACGAATTCAAGTTAGTTGATAGATTGAGTCCTTAGTAAATCACCCAAATGAAATACTAAGGCTAGGACCCAACACAATATTCTACAACTCGGGAGAGGGATGCCGTAACCCTAATTGCAGAATATTTGAAGGTAAGTGAATGACGATTCACTAATTTCCACCACGAAAAACGAAAAAGAAATTTAAGTTTTAAATCTATGAAAATCCTAGATCCTTTGAGATTCATTGAACTTTCAATGGCATGTTTAAATCTCGATATGCCCCTCTTGTTTGTGACTGGGATGCCGAGGATCACAAAGCGGGTGTGAATAACCATGCAAACTTACATGGTGCCCTCACATGTTACAATCACCTATTCGATGTGCCGGTAAACCACACACGCTCCACCGAACTATGACAAACATTGAGTCACCCTTTGCTACCTTTGCTTAGAACCATTTAGTGTGCCGGTAAACCACACACGCTCCACTAACGTCTTCGCAAGGGCACAAAGTGTAATTTCATGGAATTGCATCAATTCACTTTTGCCTAAGTAACTAAGATTGGGAATTAGAAAATTTAGTTACTTTGTATTTCATTATACTTATAATGGAAGGTTTCGTCCTATCCTACCCGTTCGGCTAACGACCCTCCACTAGTCAAGAGTGCGGTGGGTAAGAGTGGATACCCATTCAATCGCCATATTATAGGCAATTTCCTTAAACACCCCTTATAGACCAGCTTCGTGAATGAGGCCTACTAACGGTAAGACTGACTTTTACTCATACATATATATAATGTTAGACTTTTAATGTTATATATAGTATAGGGTGCATTTTACACTTTTAAAATATTAGGTGATCAAATTTAACAATTATACTTTTAATTCAATTAAATTGTAAACCTAAACTTTTATGGATTTATTAAACTTCTTTAATTATACACCTTAATTGATTAATAAAACCATAAGGGTGTGATTTGAACTTTTCAAAACATTACTAGGGTTTTAGAATTTAACATTCCTAATTAAACTTTTAATCAACTTTTAAATTCCAAAACTTGAGGGCAAGTTTTGAAACATTTCAAAACAATTTAGTTTTAATCTATCTTAAAATTTCGAATTTATGACATTTAAATTAAAATTTTAAATATTAAAACTCTTGATTTAATAATTATCTTGAATTAGACTATTAATTTAATTATTAAATCATAAGGGATTATCTAAATAATGAGGATAATTACCATTTAGACATTTAAGTTATCCTAATCCCTTAAATATCTATATAGATTTCGAAAATATGGATGGATAATGCAAGATCTTGAATTACCATATATAACAATTAGAGGATAATTACAAGATATGGGATAATCCAAATCCCTAAAAATTAGGACCTTATCTTGGGGAGGAGGCAAATTTCGAAAATCAAGGGATTATAACAAACCCTAGATTTCGAAATTTAAGGGTTTAAGGAAAGGATTTGAAGATCTTATTCAAACTCTTGCAAATTAGGGTTTGCAAACCCTAATCTCAAAAACCCTAGCCTCTTAGGGTTTATTGGCAATAAACCCTAATATATCAAGTTCATACAATTGAAACCAAACCAATGGCTCTGATACCAGTGATGGGTTTTTGGTCATAAGACATCCTATGTGCTCATACAAACCCTAATGCTTGGATCTAGGTTTCTCTATTGTACATGCTTTGAATCTAAGACTATAAACCCTAATTCTAGCATATGGAAATCGATATTAACATATAATAAGGTTTAAGAACATACCTTGATTGTTATATAGCAATAACAATCCTAATTCCACCTTGAATTGACTTTGGAATGCTTAGAGTCACAAGTGTCACTCCTCTAATGGCTTACAAACACCAAGAGCAAATGGAGAAGGTATAAAGAGAGAGGAGAGAGGTTAGAATTCGTCCTTAGGACTCCTTGGGAACAAGTACACGAATTCTAAGGCCTTAGGGTCTTTATATAGGTGTAGAGATAGGGTTTCAGTCATTATCCTTATCTAGTTGCTTATCCACAAAGCAACCATAAGATAAGCCTTGAAAACCCTTATCCTTTATCCTTTGGACGATTTCAAGGATCCTTATCTCCTTGAATTCGTTCAACCCATATTTAGGATAACCATTACCATATTTTGTAACTATCACATAATTACAATTCAGCCCCTCTAGTTTAATTAATTACACTTGATCACAAAATTAATTCCTAATTAATTATTGACCAATATTAATTAAGCAAATATGATTTCTCCTTTAATATATTATTCTTATAACATATTAATAAATCATAATAACCTCTCTCTCTTTATTTATTTCTCCAATCAAGTTGCTTTGGTGAAGGCAACCCAAAAGGACCATGCACCATCGGGTCAAGTACATACCAAAATAGTTATGGACTTA